GAATTTCACGACACTGTTTGTCAATTGCAACGACAATGTAAAAATATTGTGTCGCGCCAAGAGTAACGTTCTCTCGCATTAAAGAGGGAACGAAAACAGTTTTTTTTTTTTTTTTTTTTTTTTTTTTAAATTGCAGCTTTCGCGACAAGTATGTAACTTAAAAAATAACACCAAGCCATTATTTNCCAAGAGTAACGTTCTCTCGCATTAAAGAGGGAACAAAAACAGTTTTTTTTTTTTTTTTTTTTTTTTTTGAAACTTCGATTTTCAGCTGCGAATATGTAACTTAAAAAATAACACCAAGCCATTATTTGCATAATAATGACACAATAAAAACCCGTGCCGATCCGAGAGAAAAAAAACACACCGTTCTATTATTTCGTAGTAACAAGCCCGCGCGCGGCGACAATTTTATATATCATTTGTTACACCATTTGCGCGCGGTACGTTTCTCTGACAAATCGCGCGCAATAAGTGGATTTTCCCATTGGCGTTCGTTTTGCACGCATTTTAATAAAGTATGTCGAGTAATCATCGTCGGCTCTCTCTCTCTCTCTCTCACGTCGGTGTGTCACGAACGCGAAACGATTCGATATTTGAATTATTAATCTTTCCATTCGTTAGCGCAAATTTCATCATGCCCAGTCCTATTATCAGAGAATGCGATATTTTATTTCTACAAACAATGTTTGATTACGATTTCATCTTTGAGACAACAGTAATTCGATTACATTATAATAACAAGCATTGCCATCGATAATGCGATACACAATTCGCGCGCGTGATATTTATTTTCTAACTCTCTGTTTCTCCCTCTCTCTCTCTCTCTCTCTCTCTCTCTCTCTCTCTCTCTCTCTCCTCAATGAAATGCCGCAAGTTCCAATCATTTCTCCGAAAGCGGAAACAGTTGGAGATATTTTGAACTCGCACAAACCGAATCGCAATTGATTAGTTAATTGGTTATTACTATCGCGCGTTAATTAATTTACACTGTCGATGCGCGCGCGCAGTGTGTCAACTCGAAGCAATGTTTCGTGAGATACGTTGCAAGGACACACGTTTATGAGGAGCAGCGTGCTTCCGCATATCTCAAAGGAGGTTGTGATAACCTACACCTTGTAGACCTTGCAAATTAGTTTATTATCTTCACACTCAGAGATAATCGTATCGCCATCTCTTCTCTCGGGGTACACGACGATGGGATGATGCTTCTGACCTCCCCGCAGTCAAAGTTCTGCCCTGTAATTGGACACCGCTAATGCATCTCTCGTTCCTCGTCCTTGTTTCCGAACGAACGTGAATGGAATAAGACGGTCCCGAGAAAGCCGGAGCGAGAAAATCGAAGAGGGAAGAATACAGACGCGAGAGAGTGTCACGTGCCGATGCGGTAAGCGTCGTTACTTAGTCCGACCGGGCAACCGATTCTATTCTCCACCGTGTATTCTCCATCTCGATCTCCATCGTCGAACACCTCGGCTTGGCGCACGTTCGGCTTCCTGTTACTACGTTTTTTACTCTTTCTCTCTCTCTCTCTCTTTCTCTGTTTCTCGAAGTTTCTCAGCTCCGTCCAGTTGCTCGCGATACACACGCGGTTTCAACAACCGTAATGCACTCCGCTGTGTTTCCGTTCCCGTTTCTACGTCTCGTTCCGCCCTGACAATATTTTTAGTTTTCCACCAAAGTCTGTGTTTCTTGTTTCTCGCTCGTTTCACAATGCGTTCATTTCCCCCGTCGCGCGTTTTCCAACCTCTTCTCATTGGATATTTCCCGTCTTCACGGACATGTGCTTCTTGTCTCCGAGCCGAATCGCCCACTTTTTCGGCTGTGCGCCGAGAGCTCGCCGCTGCCCACGCGATGACCCAGATGTTACGTTATCGTTGAACGATGTTATACGACGCTGTAACATCCCTCGCCGTACTTCTATTCAGAGAATGAGAGAGAGCCCGCAGCTCCCGGGAGCTTTCTCTCGCAGCTGTGAGAGATGCTAAGCTCGAGAGATAGAATCGACGACCCTCGAACGTTTCAAGAGGTTCGCAATGGTATCCGGGTTACGGCCATATTTCGTTCTCGCGAAAGCGCGATAATCCAGCCAAACTTTCATTTACCGAAGACGGTGTGCTCAAGCTCGGGCTCTTCGAGAAGACAAAGGGGATGAGGTGAGGCGAGGGAAACGAACGATGAGGAGTGTCGGCGATAGACGCGGGGACCAAAGAAATTGAATCTATTACACGGTAGATCCGACGATGAAACGCCGAAGGAGGTTTATCTTGTTCCGCGCCAATGTTCTCCAAAGTTAAATGTTCTTTTGAGTTTACGTCGCGCCTCTTCTTTCTCCCCTCTTCGCCTCTCTCTGATAACAAGAAACTTGATAAAATCGTTCGTTTCACGGTGGCTCACTCGGCGTCACGTCGCGTAACCTTTCGTTAAAAATTAAAAAAAAAAAAAAAAAAAACTATTCTCTAATGATGAAAAAAGAAAACTACTTGCTACTCCGATCTTCCTGTTTCGTTGCGTTATGTTTTTATTGTATTGTACGCGCGAATTACTCGTTGTAATTTCTATTCTGCAATTTACATAAGCGTCTCGTACGCGTCTTGTACGCGCGGGAATATCGAAAGTAAATTGAATTCAATTCGAGTAACATCTCGCGCTCGGTAACGACGAAGTAAGTAGACGGCATTAGCAGACGGAAAAAGTTTGACGATAAACGGATTTACGGCGCGATGATAAACCAAGGCTTCGTTTACCCAAAGGTGAGATCCGCGCGCGCCCGGATGCGCTGAAGGAAGGAAATAGAAATTGAATATATTACGAAGGCGAGAGAGCAGCGCGCGCGTACAACGAAACGCCAAAGCGCAAGGTCGTCTATCTTACTGATTTTCTTCTTGGCGAAGTCGCTCGTTCCTCAAGCGATACGTTCACACAGCCTTTTAAAGTCGACAGAATATTGTCCGCTATATACGACATTTATTACTTGACGAATAAGCCGCTCGTAAATTTTATGCAAACTCGTTTGTTTCACGCGCAATTTTTTTTACGCGCATCATATTTGTTTAATAGCATCTTTACGGTTTAATAAATATTCGCATAACTTGTCACTCTAAAGTGCAGGTTTTTTTCTCTTTGTTTTTCGTAATGCGTTTTATACGCGAAGCGAGATCGAAATTAATTCAACATTTTTCGATAAATTTTAAAACTAAAAAAAAAAAAAAAAAAAAAAGAACAATCCAAACGCACAAGTTTGTCGCAAATGCCATAAACTTTTGTTTGAAACATTTTTATAGGATTACGAAATTGTGCATATCGGAGAGATGGATTTGAAAACAAAAATAAATTTCCCATTTTTTCAACCGTATCTCTGATTTTTTATCACACGACAGAAACAAAAAAAAAAAAAAAAACAACTAAGTTGGTTACATCCGATTAGATCGGATCTGACAAAATGACTTTAAATAACGAATAAAAATATAATAACGGACACGCGCGACAAAAGCGCATATACATATATGCGATTGCTAATCGGCGAAGTTTTTTCTCAGAGAAAATCGCGCAAAGTGGATAACAAAAAGAAAACACGGGGGGAGGGAGGAGGGGGAAGGAGGGAAAAATAAGTGCGGTAATAGCTACTCTTATAAAATTTCACCGTAAGTAGATACTGTTACATTATCGTTCATTATACTCCCACAGTGTCGTTAGCGCGTTACAGCTCCCGCGGAGCTCGCTTTCAGAGAGAAAGAATATAATTATAACGGCGACGACGCGGGAATACGTAATAAGAAACCATGTTAATGCGTCGCGAAAACCCAGTTATAATCGGCGCGCGAAATATAAAGTAAAAGAAAAGCCGCCGTATTTTTTTGCTACATATCAGCCTCTTGTGAATTTCTCACGCCAAGATTATTTAATGAGATGAACAAAACGGGGTAAGAGAGACACACACACACACACACGAGACAACACGCGCGTTGTCGTTACAAAGTTCCGCGACGACGCAGGAAGCGAAACCGACCGGCAGGCGGTCTATTATGTACCCGAGTCTAATAACAGCTTACCAGGACGAGCTTGCTAAAGCTCCCTGAGAGCTTCTAAAAGCAAAGTGATTGTTACAGATATCGAGCGTGGACCAATGGGATTTTCAGAAAGCGAATCGCGATTTAGTCTCCCTTTTTTCTGATTTTTTTTTTCCTCTCTTCCGTTTTGCGCAACAGTCTCAAAGAGAGTTTTCCGATTAATCCGCCGCGCATATCGCGATCGACAAAGATGTGTATGTGCGTGCGCGCGCGCGTTATTATTGTTATTTGTAAACTGTTAATTGTTAATAATGAGAAAAACGTCAGATTGACGTTATAACAAACAAATTGCGCGATCGAACATTTCGACGATTCTCAAAATCCGTTGCCGTTTTGTTTCCGCGTGACGTCGATCCGCGCGTTTGTCGAAAGTTTGACGAATGGTCTAGATCTCTGCTCGCGCGTCATCTCATTGTCACTGTCGTAAATACCTCCCGTTGTCTTGACACGCACAGATCGAGGGAGTTCTTTCGCTTCCACCCGCACGCGGCACCTGTCATTTATACGGGATTAAATGTAATTGCAAGTCAAAGATACTCCATTCGATTCGCGAAAATTGAACGGGAGTGGAGCGTTTACGAAAGCACTTTGATGAGACTGTCTCGATTAGTGCGAGAACGTCGTTATCTCCGGAAGGGAGAAAACGATCCGCCTGTTTGAAGAAACTGGGAGAGAGAGAGAGAGAGGGAGAGAGAGAAAGAGAGAAAGAAAGAGAGAGAGAGAGAGAAAGAGGGAGAGAGGAGAGAGAGAGAGAAAGAGAGAGAGAGAGAAAGACAAGTCGGGCGTCAAATGTCAGTGTTACGACGACGCTCGAGTTTCAGAGCGCGGACGATAATTCGTCGCGCAGCAATAATCGAGAGGATCATTTGTCTTTCGCGAATCGCGAGGACAAAAAGGAAAGAATAATGGTGTCTGCGATGCTGTCCTTACCTTTCCGGAGCCCCTCGAGTTGCATAGGAGAACACCGGCGGCGTGGATCCTGTACTCCTTGTCGAGTTGCTCGTGTTGCCCTTGAATTTTCCTGCAGACACAAAGAACGTGACGGCGGGAGTAATTTAAAAGCAATCTCATAAAAGAGGCGAACGCGGCAACGCGACTCGCGCGCGCGAGAGAGAGCTTTTCTGAATTGCGATGAAATTAACCGTGTTGCGACAAATAAAATTACGTCGCTACTGAAGCGTAAACAATATTCCGTGAATTAACGTGAATTAAATTGAACTTGTGAGAGAGACGGAAAAAAAAAATTCTCCATTAATCGAGAAGAGATACAAAAAGTTGCGAGAAAAATTATGTCACGAGTCGAAAAATCTCTCACGCAAGAACTTGAGAGCAATTTAGTTTTCGCTTACACACACTCTCCCTCCTGATCCCTTTGGCTGTGAGCCTGAACCGCCATAACGAGAAGAAGATGGCACTCTCACGGCCCACTGGCACATTTTCCGAGGGACTTTTCAACGGTGATTTACAAACTGAAAAAGTTCCTCGCGTCGGCCAACTTTGGCAATTACGGGAAAGCAAACAATCTTATAAATTAGGGCCCTCCTCGCCTTCTTCTTCGCGCTGGGGATTCCGCGCGCTCGCATGTGATAGCCGCGACAGACGGCAGAAACGAGAGAAAGAGAAAGAGAGAGAGAGAGAGAGAGCCGAGTTTCTATCCGGGAAAATTCTACGGAGCTCGCACTGCGACGACGTTGCAGTAAAGTTAGCAAGAGAATTAATTGCACGAGGAGGCGAGGTATCGCGCGCGAGCTTTTTTGTCGATTAAGCTGATTTTGAAAGCGGTCGCAAGACGCTTTAACACGCCGAGTGGCTGCGATAACATGCTAATCTCGCCCCGGCGGCAAAGACTTTGGCTAATGCCAGCTATATACGAAACATCGCTACCGAGAAATAGCGGAAACACAGAACGCGGCGCGTATACACGGAAAAAAAAAGATTTGCTAGAATAGCAAGAAATTAGTTACTATATGGCCAGAGCAAAAAAACATTTGTTAAGTTTAGTAAAATTTTTGTTTTGCCAACAAAACATTTTGTTGATGAAAAAAAATTTCGTAGGGTCAACCATTTTTTTTGCTGACCATATAATAGCAAAACTTTTTTTTTCCGTGTATATTTCGCAACTCGCGAAGACTCGCGATCGAAACACGCGCCGGCTGAGATGGAGCAATTCTTCAAAAGACTTCTCTCTTTCTCTCTCTTTTTCTCTCTTTCTCGCACCGACTTCCTCGAGAATAGAATTTTCCGTTGAACATAATTTTCGATTAATATTTCACACAACACAGCGCGCGCTCCCTGGCACACACGTTACACATACTAGCAATATTTCATCGAATAAATTTACATAAGCGTTATATGGAGAAAGAATCGCTTTTTCTTCGGATTTTCCCTCAAAAAGGTTTTCCGCGCCGTCAGAGAATCGATTTCAGCAATCGGCTAGCGCATTCGATTTCCGTCGCAAAGTACCCACAGAACTCGAGATCTCTTTCTCTCTTTTCCTCTCTCTCTCTCTCTCTCTCTCTCTCTCTCTCTCTCTCTCTCTCTTATTCTCGATTTTTTTGCCTGAGACTCAGGATCGAATATATAGGCGTGAATGCGCAAGAGGAAGCTCGTATTGACATCAAAAAGTACCCACCTGCTTTTATCGCGAAAGAGAGAGAGCGAGAGCGAGAGAGAGACAGAGAGAGAGACTTCACAATGCATATATAAATTTTTGCGATACTAGCACAACACAAGGACGCGCTACGCGCACATTGTTGTTGTTTTTATTTTAACGTGTTGTGCCAGTAAACACAACCTGTCACCGCGATGACAGCTAGTATATACGTCTTACAAATCATATAATACACATAATGTACATATGAGAAATGTCAGACAGACCGCATGAAAATCAAACTCGACAAATAGACAGAGAGAGAAGTGGAAAACACCACGTGACTTAAAGTCACGTGTCTTTAAAAACGTGACTAAGTAAGGTCACGTGACAAGAAAAAAAGTAAAACAGAGAATAAAATATATATTATATATATGCTATTCTATATCTATATATAATATATATAATATATGTATACAATTATATATATACATATATTCTACCAATATATCAACAACATTGACCTTTTTGTAAAGGTCATTGACTTCTTCCGCAAAGATCATTGACCTCTCCCGCAAAGGTCATTGACCTCTCTCGCAAAGGTCAGTGGCCTTTCTCGTAAAGGTCAATGACTCTTACCAAAGTCAATGACTCACCGTATTCACGTGACAAAGGTCAGTGACCTTACTTTATTCACGTTTGTAAATACACGTGACTAAAGTAAAGTCACGTTACTTTAGTCATGTGGTGTTTTTTTCTCTTCTCTCTGTCACGTGACTTTAAAAAACGCTAGAATACTTTTGGGTTTTAGTGTTTTGTTCTGAAGCGATTAAGATCGACTAAAACGAAAGTCATCGATTCAGTCGTTTTTGAGATATTGCTCCATGAAAATCTTCTCACTTCTCAATCATCGCATGAATTTCGCGTATAAGAGGCACTACCGTGCGTCTTGATATGTACGACATCGAGAAACACATCCTAGAAACGTCCAATCAGCGTCGAGATAAAATTGGCAACAATCAATATCGAGAGAATCGATTGTGATTATTTACATACGCTTTTTTTTGGTAGAATTCCAACACAGAGATGAAAAAAACCTTTAATACGATCTTCGTTCGCGTTTCTTTTTAAATGCATGCTCTTTCACGGCGCGACCGAAGACCGAGACATCGCGTGGAATCGCGTACCTATCCGGTGTTTCTCATAAATTTATCAGTGGCGTATAATCAAGGCGCTCGGCAACGAAAAGAGCCACCATGCGCAAACACGACGCGAGAGAAAACGTACCGCAAACGCGAAGGCGAAGCTTGCGCAAACAACTTGGCCACGTTGAAACGCGTGAAATAAAAAGAGAGCGCATCTTGCTGACCCCCGTACTCTTTTCCAAGATGTTACTCATTTTCCGCACCCTTTCGTTTCACCCTCTCTTGTACGCGTTACTTCGCAAAAGGCGAGAATAACGCGTTCGCGAGATATGTAAAGCGAGGCAGAAGAAGAGGAAGCTGCCGCTCTCAGGAGAAACCGCGCGCTCCGCGGCGGAGCTTCCGATTCTCATTACAAAGTCAACGCAAAGTGTTTACGGTAAATCGCGAAATTGAACTTTACGATAGAAATAATGCGGCGAGTTAGAAAAGTTCGCGCTGCGCGCGCGCGGCGAAAAGTTAGTTCGGACCTTGGGTATTAATGAGTTAAGCTTCGTTAACGTCGTAATTTCGCTCGCTTGAGCATTATGCAGAGTGTGCTGAAGATAACGCGACGGAAACATTTTCTGACGGGTAGGAGTGGTAAAAGTGCTGCGCGATAAAATTGTTACCCCCGTCACGGGGTCCGACCACGTTAAATCTTTTAGGAGTTAAGCTCTTCGGCGCGCGTTCCCACGGGAGTTAGTTCTCGTAACGTAAAGCTCGTGTTTTAGACGCCTCTTAGTAAATGTATTATTCGTTAAGCTCATTTGCCGTATAGGCGAATAATTATTTCTCTCGCTATTACTTGAGAAAGAGATACGAGTTTCTTTAAAGTCTAAAGAAGAAGATAAAGAGAGCGAGCAAAAGAGAAAGAGCGAGAGAGAGAGAAAGAGAAAGAGAGAGATTCGTGTGTTAAAAATGTATGTTATTTACCGAAACGATGTAAACGATATATTTCGCAAAATTTAATTTAGTTACTTGACAAAGAAAACGTACGATATAGCGTGTAGCAATTCCTGTCGCTGCTTCTCCTTCACCTTTACGCTTCCACCTTCCTCAAGAGCTGCTTGCAATTCTCTTTGCAAGACAGCCAATTTACGACGCTCGCCCTCCAAGAGTAGCGAAGTGACCTGAAACAGAATTTTGACAAATAAAAAAAGGATTGCGCGCAACGTTGTTGCGATGACGATAATTAAGCGTAACATTTATTTTGGGTTTTCACATATACATATACAGTCGCGACGATTCAAACAAACAAACCACGAAATAAAAATTAAAAATAATCATAACTATTTTGTTAATTTTGTCATGAGTTTTTTTTAACGACTGTTTTTGTCGTTTATTCGCCAAATTAAATATGTAAAATGTGGTGTAATTTTGTTCTACTGAAGAATTTGTTTGTTTGTTTTTTTGTTTTTTTTCATGCAATTTAACTGTTTCATCAATGAGCAGTCGTAAAGGAAGAAGTTGTTACATTTACCGTCTGAGAACGCGTTCGATAAAAGAGAGAGAGAGAGGTAAGAATGTGCGAGAGAAAGAGACTGTATCAACCGACGGCAATGCAGTTCTTACAGTAATCGCTTGTTGGTATCTGGATTTCAAGTGTTTTTTTTTTTTTATCAGCTATCGACTGAGGCTTGACAACTTTCATTTCTTTATTTTTTTTAAATATAATTGAAAAAAAAAATACAATTTGACATTAAAACGTTGATATTTTCGTGATAAAAATTAATGTTCCACACACAGTTTTACTTATAATGATTAAACAGAAACAAAGAATATATGAAACAACAATTAATAAGCAACTATCGTGAAGATCTTTTTTATATTCAAATACTTGTGCGAAAATTTCTTAAAGCAATTTCAAACGCAAAAGGCACAAAAGTGAGTTCCAGATAAAGTAACAGTACGTAAAAGTACGTTTTGATACAAGTACAATTATACCGGCCTTAATTCATTGAATTTTCTTTGTGCGGTTGCATATTTTCTTCGTACTTTCTATTTAAAGCTCTTGGCATCAATTTTTCAGACACGAGAAGAGTTAATGGGTCAGAGAACACGCGTTCTTTAATAAATCGCATCGCGAACGAGCGGCGATAAAAAAAAACTCCTCGTGTGTTTCTGTTTACACTCGTAATGATTTCAGTTTCCCCGCTGCGTGCACACGAGCGCAATGAATCGCATAACGCACATTTGAGCGCGTGCATTGGATTTCACGCGTGCGAGCCGCGAATCTCCTCCCGTACGCAACGATGCGGGCAGAAATGCGCGCGCGCGTATAAGATGTAAATCATTCTTGTAACACAAGCGTAGGGTGTGTGTGTGTGTGTGTGCGCGCGCGCACATATGTGCAAGCGGATAGATACCTGCATAGATAAAAGCAAGGAAATACGAGCCGCGACGACTCTCCGCGAAGCTCTCGCCGCGCTCCACGGCGGATCATGCATGCGAATGCGTTTCATAATTGGTTGGAAAAAAAAAAAAAAAAAAACGCTTCCTACGCGATTATACGTGAGTTATTATTGACAGACTATGTTAATTTCACGGTGGAGTTTGTAAGAGAAAAAAAAAAGCGCTTGCGAGATGCCGCGTTCGTTGCCGCGTGACGCGCGCGGCTCTTCTTCGATCGTTCGCTTCAAACACACAGTCGCGAGTTCTCGCGATCGATCTTTTCCTCTTTGAATTGTGAATTAAAAGTCACACAAAAACAGTTACCATACGTAGTTAACTTCGTTCTCCTTTAATGTTTCCGCTATTTTTCGACTGCTTTTTGTGAGGCTTCATTGAAGAGGACGCGATATAAACTGCATTACAAAGCGCGATCGATGCGCGGAGTCACAAAAGAATTAGAGAATGCCGCCGTCCCGCATTTTACAGCTGCATCTCGCGGCATGTTAAACGTCTGTACGCTTTGAGTCGGAATTTAAATTATATCGCATCCGCACACACACACACACACACACACACACACAAATAGAAAACACAAAGAGAAGAGAAGAGAAGAGAAGAGAGAGAGAGAGAGAGCGCCGGTGTTCAACAAATGAGTTCGATCGGAGCAGTATTTATTTACACCTCGCACTTTTGCGCGCGCGCAATAAATGTGTTAAAAAATTTATCGCATCTGCGAGCGATCACCAAGAGAAGAAAACAGCGCGTAAATAAAAAAAATAAAAAAAAATTGTAGTTTCTCCGAGCAAGTCATCAGAACGGAAATTATCAAATTTAAGCGCGCTGATAAACCACCAAGTGTACAGAAATATATACATCTGATTCCCGATTTGTGCGCCTTAACGCTTTCGTAAATCGAACTCGCGTATAAAAAAGAAAAACGCAATGACTTTCCCGCGAAAGAAAGACGTGTAGCTTCTCGCCCGGCGGATCGTAACTTCGTCGTAAATCTTTTTACGCGACGCGTTCTTTCTCTCTCTCTCTCTCTCTCTCTCTCTCTCTCTTTCTCCTTTCTTTCTCTCTTTCGCAAACAGAAAGAATAAATCGAAGAAATCCGAGGAGAGTCACACGAAGACAACTGTCGACGTATACGAGATACACAAGACGGTCTTACGCGATGTCTATCTTCAAATCGAATTCGTTCGCAAATATATTCCTACTATTACTTCGATTCGGAGGATTCGAAAGTTTCTCCGTGGCAGGAATTCCGTCCCATTCACCTGCTTGTTGGCAGACCTCAAAAATCTACTTGAGCAAACGAGTTGGGCGCAGACGTTTGCTCTACTTCGGAATGTGTCTCGCCACTTTCAATTGTTCGATTGAGTGCCTCTCTAGGGTTTTACGAGAAAACCGGGAAACGAAACCTCGAGAGAGGCTGTTGTCCCAACCGATCTCGCGGGGGAGGTAGGAACCTCCTTCAACCTCCGCTATCGGTCGAGAGAATCGGAGCGTCAATTATGTTCACGCGATCACCGGAAGTTCTCGACATTTACGTCGGGGCCGGAACGCACGGGGGTTGCCAAAACGCGATACCTACGACGGACCGTCGAGCCAACTTCAGCGATAAGTCGACTCGAGTCGCCAAGCCGCGAACCAACATCGCAACGGTCAAATTAGACGCGGTCACCGCGCACTTTTATCGAACGAAGTTCGGTCTGAACAGCAAAAAGAGAAAGAAAAAGAGAGAGAGAGAGAGAGAGGAGAGAGACTTTGCCGCAACGGAACTATAAAACTATACCGCGTCCCTCGTTCGTACAATTCTTACTTTCCAAAGTAATTACACTTTCTCCGAACTTGGCTAAATCTTGTTAGCGAGTTCTTTTTCGATATATTATATTCACACAGAGGAATGTCTGTTCTTCTCAACTGGGGAGAAGCAAAACTTATTTCTCATTGTTGTGTGTACACATCTTATACATTTATAAAATCTCGCTGAGTTGCGCTTCCATTAAACTTTGCGCTTCCATTAACTTGCCGACGGAGATGCGCCGCGTCCAGGAAAGCGGATGCAGGACGGAGCTGCGCTTGTCTGTCGAAATGAGATCTTTGCGCAACCTCACCCGGCAAGCACCCGACTGTGCTTATTAAAGATCGTCGCGATATGACGCTGATTATGAAGGCACCGGGAGTTATTATCCCGTCTATCGTAATCGCGTATCCTCCGGCTTCGAGAGATCGGGGAAACGAAACGATCGCTATTAGCGATCGGGAAATGCGCCTCGTGCAACGTTCAATCGAATCGTTGCACGCAACTACGCTCAATTGCGCGTTAATTAAATCGATACTCGCGATATTTTACTCGCAAAGCTCTTACCGCGCGACGCGGTAAAATGCCGGTGGGTTTGCGTGCAATTTTTTCACACGGAAGTGCGCACGACAACGTTCACAACGCGCGGTTTTTCGTATCGGCGAGAAAATATTTTGCGTTTCCAGTGGATGAAATTTGGACATAAAAAAAAAAGAGTCGCGCGCAAACAAAAATAAAGTTTTCGACGCGCCACGACGAATCTGTGTGTGGATTTCAAAAATTTCGTCTTTTTTAATTATCACAGGCTATATTCTAACGCGCAACCCCCGCGTAATTATCTTCAAGGCTCTCTCGCGGTTTTACTTTCGAGCAACACAACCGCGTCGTTGTGTTGCTCGACGGGATGTGGCGCGATTAGGCCACTGACACGCGGAATTTCGGTCGGAGATGAAAAACCGCGAGAAATGAAAACACTTCTGTTCCCCTAGTAGTTTTGTACGAAAAACAGTAAACTTTTTTTTATATGTAATTAATACTGGTAATTGTTTTTTTTTTTTTTTTTTTTTTTGAGCACATAAACACCGTGGCGTTCCGCGCGACTTTGATATTTCTGAAGACCGTAGACTCTTATTGTCTTCAAAACGATGTTATTGAAGCGAGCGTAATATCGCGTCGGCTTCTTTGAGCACAGCGCGATCCTTAATTTCGCTTTCGATTATAAGCTCGACAATCATCTCAACTGCGAGTCTGTTATTGCGCGTCGCACGGATATTATCCGTGACGAGGAGAATTAAATCGGTAAAGGTCGCGGGAGAAAACAAAATTTTGTTTGATCGCGTTTATAATTGCGATCGGCGACGCAACACGCGACGGAATGATGTCATCGCCGGAGATCAGAGACAACCGCGACGGAAAAGCGAAGGAAAGAAACGGACGGGAGGGACGCGCGTTGGCTAATCCGATTGAATGCATTTATTCACCTGTGACGAGCGCCCGATGCTAATTCGCTCTCTCTTTCTTTCTGTATCTCGTCGTCTTCTTGCGAAATCGCGTTATTTGCCCTCGCTCGTATATATATATATATATATCATACTGCTTTCGGAAGCGGGTACGGTATCACATCAAGGACGGGCGACGATTGGGAAACACACAAGCGCACGATGATGTTTGATATATCACCCGGATGATTCATTTCTATTGTACGGAGAGCTGCTCGCTGTAATCAGCCCGCTGTGTTATGTCGTTTGCAGAAACAACACACGTGCGCGAAATATAATACACCGATTACGTTATTCGCGCGAGCGAATCCTCGCGATGCAAAACAAGACCACCTGTGTGTCTTGTTTCGATGACGAAAAGTCTCTTTCGGAAACAGAAAAAACGTAGACGACGCTCCGACGATCTTCCGACCTTTTTTTTTTTTTTTTTTTTTTTTTTTTTTTTTTTTTTTTTTTTTTTTTTTTTTTTTTTTTTTTACGACGGATATGATAATTGTTCGCGATTAACGTGAAAAAGTGAAAACGGTCGTGGATTCACGGGACCGTGACCGGATTCCGTGATGTCTGTGATACGCAAAACTTACGAAATGTGTTTTTTGTTCTTATTTTTTTTCTTTCTCTCTCTCTCTCTCTCTTCCGAGCTCGTTTTTTTCCTCGCAACGGTGTGATACTTCTGAGTAAGTTATTTCGTAAGACGACTAGACAGCGCGCGCGTTTAAACTTGTCAAACGAGTATCGATAACGTGTGAATTGTGGCGGCGAGAAAGAGAGTTCTGGGAGTTCGGTGCGAAGTTCGACGTCCTCGGAGAGATCTCGGAGTTTTGTCGCGATTGCATCGTCGTACCGTATGCAATAAGTTGTTACAAGTTGTTTTGCGAACAATATAATCGCGCACGTAATCACATCGATTTGATCGAGCAAACGCTCATTATATTATTAGTTCGATAATAAGGACGAAATGTCGAGGAAAACAATGGTTTAAGTTGATCCTTGTCAAATTATGCAAAAAAAACGGCACGCTTGTTCGCTACTTTAATGCAATCGCCCGACTGGCTGTGCTCAGCAATTATTACGTCACATTCGTTCTTGGTCAGATATACTTAGCTCATTAATTTATCGCGTAATTACGGTTCTCGGTTTTCGTTATCTCCAGAAGTAAAACACTCGACAACTGGCACTTCAAAGACCTGTTCATTTTTGTCAAAAGCGCCAATTAAAAAAGACTCTAAAAATTAAATAAAAATTAATTGTTTAATTTTTAAATTTGTTTACTTTTTAATAAAAATCAAACAATCTAACCTACTTTGCGATGTCAAAAATATTAACAAAACTAGAAAAATGAACAAGTTCCAATTATTTGGAGAAAATTTGAAATTTTTTAATTACTTAGTTTCTAGAGTGTTAAATAAAAATAAACAAAATTGAGAAAAATTATCTCTCCTCCAAAGTCACGGAAGTTTTCGTATAAGAAAGACGTCCGTTCGACATCTCTTAACTCGTCGCCTAGGATCTCGTCGATCGAGAAACGCGCGGAGAAAGGTATATCGGATTGATCCGGCGGTGATAGAGAGGAGAGTGCAACGAACGAACTTTCCTGTTTGGCTGTTTCGGTTTCAGGTGGCTTGGCTGGCCACGTCGTGTCAGAAAACACAACGCGAGTTTTCTGGGACGGGGCCTCTCACTGGCCTACACTACACCGCCGATCGCGGGCAAAAGTGATCACCGCGCTCTCTCGGGTGAATGGACAGCCAATCCCGGATCGAATGTATCCTCGCCCTCGACAAGGATATCGGAGATCACGCATTAAGTTACGCTCTCGCTCCTCTTTCCCGATTGTTCCGCCTTCAAGGCCTCTCACTTCTCGCGTTAACTCGACGACTTAGAAATTGTCTTAGAGGCGCATACAAAGGACAAGAGCATGTTACACACGTGTGTGTGTGTGTGCGTATCGTCTTGCCAATTAAACATTTAATCTAATTGTAAATTAAACATTTAAGATCTATGTTAAAAAAAAAATCACGAGGGAAACGTAAATGAGGAAAGATTATATTTAAGAGTGCGTGGATTTTTTTCAAGAACTCAGAAACCCCCCCGCGCGTTTCCTCGTCACGTTTCACAATGAGATCGACGAAATGCGTGTCAATTACCTCCAATTGCACTCCGAAAAGATCTCGGGATCTTCCGGGTCTGGAAGCTTTCAATTCCTGCATCTCGGCCTCTCGCTCCACCAGTCCCATGTCTCTCCGAGACACCTGAAAAACATAAATAACACAATTAATTAAAAATGTAACAAATTAATGACTTCGAGAACTCAATTCGCGTTAAGGAGATCGACATTCACGAGTTTTGTTTTTTCTTGTACGCGTTACCGACAAATTAAATTTTTTCATATATCTGTTAATAATATTGAGAAAAATTTATTCGCGCGCGCGTAAGAGAGAAAATGACTCACGGGGTATGTTTGCATAATCGACTTCGCAATCATAACGTTACAAACGTTGTCATAAGAGCTGGCATTAATTGGAGTAACGCTTTTTCTCTCGGTCGGAATACATAAGTTAGACACATGAATTATTAATCGCAACACATTAGCGAAAAAGCGTTTACGCTCGCTGATTTTAACAAATGTGTTGTTTCTCCGCCGTATGATTAATTCGCACTTCTGATTCGTTTCTTCTTTTTTACGAAACAAATCGGAGAGAGAACGTGGACAACGGAGAGAATCGTAAAACGCACAAAGTAAACGCGCACAAAGCAAAATCGCACTTTACGAGAATTTATCATCAATTATTCGACGACGGGAGGGGGGGAAGGGGGAGAAGAGAAAAACTCTCACAACGCGAGTTCCAAACGCGTGCAACTGTCTGCGAGAGAGCGCGCGCCAACAAATCATCTAGTATCTTATGGAAGAAACGCACTCAGAGTAATTAAAGTTTAAATGTCGAGGGGATGTGCGCTTTTCACAAACGTAAATATTCATTGTGAGGAAAGCATAAAGAAAAAAACTTTGACTCGTAAAACGTAGAGAGATAAAACGTGCGTTTGTCTGCGTTGAATTTTTAACGTCGCTTATCTCAAGTTTGATGACGCAAGAACTTCGAATACCAATTCTCATCGTAAGATCGGTGTGTGCGCACGCGCACGCGCGCGCGCGCGCGCGTCCTTCCGGCGCACTCGCGAATTTCTTTATTTTCTTCCTAAAGATAAAAAAAAAAAAAAAAAACACTCGAATAAACAAAGATTACGGCGCTTCTGCTATTGTCGTTTCACACGTGGCACTTTCGCGTAAGCGCTATTACCTCGTTGGCATTTAAAACAATTACGACGGGCGCGCGCGCGGTCATTACCGCGGCTGTGGCGCCGGGAATGTCGCGAGCGTTTGTCGAGCCGTGCGAATCGCGGCGTGCATTGTCTCACGACAACTCATTCCCCCCCTCCGACGAGGAAGAACAATAAAGCCGAGAGCTTGGAAGTATCAGCGAGAAGAACTTGTGTGTAACATCGGATATGATACCGCGGCAGATTGTTCGCACGAACGTGAGTCATCCGCGCGCGCGCGCGCGATCTAAAACGAATCGCCGCGCCGCGGCGAATTACGATTTCGCGAACGTCGCGAGCGATCTACTCGGCAAATCCCGATTCCAAGGTGGCGGCGTTAAGACCGGTGGGCAGTCGACAGGATGCGCAACGGGGCGCGTCTGGGTAAAACGCGCGCGCGGAACAATGGACGATACGTGCGCCCGTTACCTTCGCGCCGCGGAATTATCCGCTAATTATTTATAATTAATCGCGTTAAAGCGCGAATTCCCGGAAAGCCTCCCGGGGCGAGCCTGGGCGCGAAGACGTTTCTTTCCTTCGCGAAGATGTGCGCAGTCCGTCGTCTATCAGCGCTGCCACATCGGCGCGTTGTTAACGTTCGTACGACGTAACGAGCGTCGTACGTAATTACATTTTCCCGCCCGCGCGTAATTTGTAATTGCGTTGTTATTATTATTACTCTTTCTCTCCCGACGTGTTTTTTAATGCGTCGCGCAATTAGGCAGATAATTAATCGCCTAGCGACTACTGGGGACGGTATCCTATAGACGCGCGCGTCTTATCCTAATGGCACATCGCGGCCGCGTTACCTCGCCGAGTGATTGTACTCGTCGTAATTCTATTCGTCTCGTGTTATAACCGCGAAATAATCCGCGTCTCACGTAACCTTGTTCTTTTTTATTTTTCTTTTTTTTTTTTTTTTTACTACCATATCTCTCCCGGTTGTTAAAGTTCACCGACGTCAACGCGATCGATAATTCGTTCAAATAACGAAACTCACAAGAGAGACGTTTAAAAAGCTCCTCAATTCGACGGAATCTGATTTTAAAGCCGTCATTAAAATTTTTACGGTTGGTTTAACCGTGATGTGCGTTTTTTTTTCGGGATTACTTCCTTCTTTGAGACGATCCTCTCGTTTTCCGGTCTGTTATCGGTCGCTCCAGTTCCCACGATATCGGCTTAATTGACGAGTGAAACTCACGAGCGTAGAAAGAAAACGGAGAAACGGTCGGTTATCAAAACGGAACATGCTGTATGTACATGTGGCGACGGTAGTCTTTGCGGAGAGCTTTCCCGTGCGCGGTGAAGGTTCTCCCGCGACCGCGCGAAGCCAAGAAGCGGAAGACGACGACAACGACGACGACGACGACGATGCGCCAGAGTAGGAGAGTCTGTTTCCTAACGGGATCGCGCGCGATACGGATCATTAGCGTTGTACAATCATCCACAAGCGAGCGTTCTAAAGTGAGCGCGCGGAAAGAGAGAGCAAAACCCGCGCGTTTTGTTTTACAAAATCACAACCCGCGCGTTCACGGGAAAGAATTCTCTTTCTTCGATTTCCGTTGACGTCGCCTGAGCCATCGTGTGAACGTTACGCGAAATTATTCCGCCGTCGTAAGATCCGAGTCTCTGCCGAGACGCGATGTCCGGGTTTCAAAATCGTCAAAAAAATTCTCGCGAAAATCTCTTCGAGTTTTTATTCAAATTTCCTTCCAGAAAATCTCTTCGAGTCGAAGAAAAAATCAAAGGAAATATTTTTCGAGAGAACATCTAATTTTTATCTCGAATTATTTCAAAATCGAGCTCTTCAAAGTTTGATTAATAAAATCTCTGTAATTCGAAGCGCGCAGATCCACCGTCTGGTGCAACGTCAAAAATCAAATTTTGCGTAAAACTGTCCGAATTTGTGTTTTCTTTATCTCTGTGAACGCCAAATACTTTTGTAAGTCGAAATTTCCGTAGATCGAATTGTTGAATTTTTCCTCGAGATTCGAGATTCTCCGATTCGTCTATCGGCAATTTCGCGAAAACAATTGAAAACAAAGCCGGGAAATTGTTTTGTAAGTTCCCGCGAAGAATAACGATACGCGTCGAGTTTCGCGCGATCGTTAAGAATATAACGACGAAGCCTTCGAAGCGATCGATACGAAAAGGACGTTTTTGCAAGAATAATAATTAAACTTCGTCGCTACACACAGTGTTGTCACGCAGCGTTCCCCAGTATAAACAACGTCACATCGCAAATGCCACCCCTGCGTTGTCACGTACATACATACATACATACATATATATATATATTCAATGCGCGTTTATGTGCCGTCCACCGAACGATGAACAAATAATAAGCAGTAATAACAACGTGGTGGACGTTAAACGTGCCAGCACATCATGTCCGTGTCTAATCGTCACCGACGATCTTGACGAGTCATATCGTACCCGGCTGCCATTCCCCCTTTTACACTCACTTATCTTTTTACTCTTGGCCACACGTAAACGCCGCGTATGTACGTGCACACAGACTATCAGATCGACCATCGGTTTTCGCTTCACGTGAAAACCTTCCGCGCGTAACGCGGCGAGGAATAAAAGCGCGAACTGAAAAAACAACATTGGCGCAGAATTTTGCATCGCAGCAACAAAACGTTTTACCTTTCAAATCGAAAAAAAAAAAAAATCAAAGTTTGGCTATTTTGTATTTTGTATTTTGTTTGACCGACAAACAAATTGTTATCGCGTTGTAACCGCTGTTTTTCTAGAAGGGCTGGGGGGGGGGGAGGAGAGTTGAATTTATGCCGTCCGCGATGGTATCTCGCGAGGGATTATAGCGGCGCGGAAACTTCATCATCGGCTAGATATGGATTTCGCAGAAAGCGCAGGGAGGTTAGTAGTAACAGACAGGGATGTTTTCTTGGAAGTTTGCACGAGGACTTGCATTAGCGTGCTAGTTCATAGCTCGGACTTCCGAGAACGCGTACGCAGTTAGCACGCGAGGTTGGTCGGTTTTGTTTTAAAGGAAAACATGCAAATGCACAGTTTGCATTTATTTCTCGCATTTGCTCGGATCGGAAAAAAGACCAGGAAAAAAAAAAAGTTGTTGCGTTTTTCGATGAGGGGAGATAAAAGTCGTACAATGTCTTTGGAGACAATCGCGAGACTTTTACGTCGATTTTTACCTAAATCGATCGAGCGCTCTCTGATCATTCGACGAGCGCGAACTTTTTTTTGTTGTTCGAAAATATTATTCGGTCAATCGACAATTGTCGAGAGAAAGTGACGAAGATTTAACGGTTACCGGTTGGTCAATTCAAGTGGGTCACAACCCACGTCGAGATGAACGAGCGATCGAGACCGGTGACCACTCCTTGACCTAGACGTTTCCGACATTAACCCCGTCCCGACCTACTCTTCATCCTGATCTTGTCAGTGCGCAATGTCACGCGTACGCGCGCGACCGTAAAAGTGACGCGGTGTGACGAAGAGCGCAAATCGTCAGGACCAGCAGTCTGATGCACCAGCGAGGTCGTAATCGCGGGTTTTAATTTGTCGCAATCACGACGAGAGTTTGCGAGATTATTTATTAGAGCGAGTCACGCAATTATATATTTTCATTACAAAATACGCAAAGAGAGAGAGAGAGAGAGAGAAGAGAGGTTTTAGCGCTTTCACTCTTTGTGTGTTTTATTTCGATCGATAACGAATATTTGCTCGAGAGACCGTCTTCTTCGAGCGAAGAGGAAAATCGCATAAAAAAACAACACTCGCATTGTGTGCGAAATTCGCGAAACTAGCGAATCCATCTGTGTCGGACGATGTCTCTCGTCAGAGATGTTTCGAGCGGACCTTTCGTGGCATCTTCTGTCATTTAAATGCCAAGGCGAGATCCCTCAAGCTGGCGCCAGCCCTCGATCGAGGAAACTGAAAAGGGTAACCGTTG